CATTGAGCATTTCCAATGCATTTCTCATGCATGGCACAATTTTATTTTATTTTTTTCTAAAAACCGCCAGGAATACGCGAACCTTTCCGACTTTTATTAAAAAATATCGAGAAAAAAACGTTTTCTAAAAATGTCGGGAGAAAGTAGACATATCCCGACGATTATATTCGTCGAGATCATAAAAGCGAGAGAACAAGTTTCAAATATATATTTTTTATATTTTTTAAATTGTTTTTAAAGCAACGTTAAATTTTATCAACAAAAAGCTGAAAATAAGATGATTTTAGGAACTGCCTAATAGATTCAAAAAATTAAAGGAAAAAAAAACTAGGATCCTTAATTATTAAGTTTAAACTTGAAATGTCGTATCTAATAGATTTCTAAACAAATATTTGATTTCAGAGATGTATTAAGCTAAAACATAATCCTGAAAGTTCAAGGATAAAATTGGTAATATAGTTATATCTAACACAATATTAATTAATATCTTAATCAATAAGGTCGAGACTAATTCTATCCTTAGATTTCAAGTATTTTTCTTATTTCAACATCGATCAATGATTTCATCAAGTCATCAAGCAAAATGATAAAAGAAGAAAGAAAAAAAGCTAATGAAATTCATATGATTTAGATTCATAAAATGAATAGCAAAATGAAAGAGTTTAATTTGTGTGAAATATTTAGTTGGTTGAGTCATGATTTCACATTCACAAGAATGGTTTTTTTTTCTTCTCCAATTTAATTTGTAAGCGTTTCCACATAATTGGGTTTGAAGAAGAAGAAAAAAAAAAGTTTTCAATTTCAACAGTTTCAAAATAAAAGAAGAAAACTGCCAAATTTATGTGTGTGTGTGTTTTTGTTTTGACTGAAAAATCAGTCTCTTTTCTTGCTTTGAAACTGACCAATTTCAATAATTCAATTATAGCTTTTGATGGAGTTTGTTTTAGATTAATTAATGGATTCAACTTTCAACTCCAAATATGGTTTTGGTTTCATTCATGGACAGAACAAACCCCTTCTTCTTTTATTATTATTTTTTTTTTCAAATTTGAAACTTGTTTTTTTGCCAATGATCATTGCTCTGATTATGCTCGCATTTTCTTAGACATGTCTCTCTAATTTTGGAACGAAAAATAAAGACACCTCTCCTTTCACCATCTCTTGATCTAAATTTTCAAGTTGATTTATAATGCATAATTATTTTATTTTTTACCTAAGTATATGATATTAAGGTTAGAAATATCTTAATAGGTTGCCATGAGTCTCGCTCAATTAATCAATATATTAATAGGATTTTGAAGATTATCGAAGGTTCAAATCTTCCTTCTTCTTTGTATAAATTAAAAATATATATATGTGAATCTTAATTATCAATAGATACAATTTGTTTAATTATAATTAAATAATTAATTAGGATGAAACTACTAAAAAAATTTATGGCAAGACAAACTTATTAAAAAGAAGGTCAATAGCATGAAAATGATTCTCCCTCGTTTTTAGTTTAACAACATGTGGTGGGAATTCGAATCTTCGATTTTGTTAATTGAAAATATATATCTTAGTATTAATACTAAGATATATAATCTCTCTTTCACCAATATTATCGTTAATTGTTATTTAATTATACTTTTTCTAACTCTTATTTTGACTTATTAAAAATATTCTTGATTTGAAATTAAAAAAACATACACAATGAAAAGATTTATGCAAAAAATTTTAAAACGGGACGAGGCGTAAACGAAAACACGGATGAATATTTCTAAAGAAATCATAAAAGTAAAAAATTTAAAATAGATATTCAACTTAAAAATAACATCACACTTTAAATTTTAAATAACTTTAAAACTATCCTTCAAAAAAAAAAAAAGTTACAAAATCCTTCTATTAATATTATTGTTTTGTTGGCATTTTTTTAAATATTTTTATAGTATAATATTGATATTAATTAACACAAGGTCATATCGATCATAATATTAATATATCTAACAAAAATTTAATTTTTTTGATATTTACTAAGAGATTTAGAATTTACTAGGGGTGTACATGGATCGGGTTAGAAGGAATTTTGATATATAGGAATCGTCGGGTTTAAATTTGGATGGTCAACCCAATCTAACCCAACCCAGTATTTTCGGGTTGGGTTGTCGGTTTGTGTTTCTTTTTACTTTTTATTTTTAATTATCACGGTGGCGATGGGGAGTTAGGATTAAAACTTAATGGACGGTTGAGATTAAGATAAAAAAATGGAAGAAGATAATATGAAAACCTTAAATGAAAGACGATGATTAACATTAAATGGAAGGTAACATTGAAGATAAATATATTATTTTATATATAATTAAGAAAAATACACATATATGCATAAATTCTAGTTGGATTGAGTTGACCCGATTTTTTAAAGATTGAACTCGAGATCCAACCCAACTCGATTTGGATTGGATTCGTCGGGTTGTCGGATTTTTTGAACACCCCTACAATTTACGAACAAGATTTGGAGAGTAGAAAAGTTAAAAATAATAGGATGGCCGGAAATGGAACAGAGAATGCATGAAATTAGATTTTAAGAAAAAGTAGTATTATACGGTTCAAAATGAAAGATGTGATGTTTTTTTTTTTTTTGTCTTTTNATGTTTGGTTCTTCAACTATGTTTTTAGAAACCAATTAAATTCCTTCTAATCACAATACTAATTTTGAAAGACAAGAATATCCAGAGATAAATAATGCTTATAAAAGCTATTCAACGTCGAAAAACAAACGGTAACCTTGAGCACAATTTGATTAGTCAAATTAGTAATATGTTTGATAAGCCATAATTCGAATCCCGAGTCCAATTTAGTTGGAGCAACTAATGTTGAATGCGCACGACCACAGCTCGTTGATAGGAAAAGTTATGGTTTGAACTATGTTCTAGGAAAAGCTATGGTTTGAACTATGTTCAAGTTGACCCTTGTGATATAATCAAGATTTGTCGATGGAAATATCGAAATCTCAATTTCATAAAAATATAAAAAAAATATCGATATTGATTGATATTTCTATAAAAATTAGATAAATTAAAAAAAATCATGAGAAATATTTAAATTAACAAATAAACATGTTTATATTTCTTAGTATGTTAAAAATAATTAATATTAATATTGTGTATATGTTAATGACATTTTATTGATATTTTTTCTATTTGTCATTTTGTAATATGACAAAATTATCGATTTACCTATCATGTTGATGTCAAGCCCATAGATACATAAAAGTGTCGATGGAAATGTTGACGTGTCGACGGATATTTAATACCATGAATCTAACTAGTTCAAACAACGGATGAAGTAAGCATTTGAAATGCCAAGACGAGCATGCTCAATAATAATTGACATATATCTTCAATCAAGAGATTACGAGTTTGATCCCCACCCCACATGTTATACTAAGTTTATAATGTTATAACTATTTGAGCTAAGGTCAAGTTAGCTGAACGGGTTAACCATCGAAGTAAAGTTATTATAGGCATGAAAACTATGGGATAAGATCTCAAAAGCATAAAATTCCCTGGGTCAACTTTAAAATTAGAATCCAAGGTAGACTTGATAATATTTGCAATTACATTTGATTAAAATTTTTATTTCCCAACTCCAACTCACTTTGTAAAAGTGATCTAATCTTATTTTCTCCACAAAAAGAAAAGATATTGAATAAATAATCATTTAAAAATGGAATATAATCATACATGCACAATAGGGTATTGTTTTTTGAACTATGCATAGATCCGCGAAAATTGCAGAAAATTCATTCATCTTTGAGCTTAAGAATCCAATACCAAAGTTATACAAAGCGTATTGATACCACCTAAATATTATAAAAAGTTTTAAAAAGTTTTAAGAACTAAAACAAAATATTAAAAATTCAAGAATCAAAATTAAATAAACTTGAATAAATTTCAAACCTAAATTTTACATAAAAGTCATCCTGGTCATTCTATAATTCATTCCCACACCCCCAAATAATTCCCAAAAAGATCAAATCAGAAGTTCTCTATTATAATTCAGACCCCATTATAAATAGAAATATAGAACGTCAATCTTTCACAAGAATGTCGATATCTATCTATTATATCAGATAAGTCTTGTCATTAGAGTAAGAAATTACAGTATCACAAAAGAATGCAATTTCAAAATTCCAGATCTGAACTACTCACATTCATAGAAAGAAAACAAAAAGAAGTCATGTCATGAAGCAAGAATTGAAGACACTTATATTAATCACCCGATTAATTCACATTACCATACCACTTCCCTTTCAAATCATTTGTCACAGGGAATCCCCAGTGTAGCCATCGGTGATGTTAAAATCAATCATGTCCAAAAGCTGTAAGATGCACCTCCTCCTCCTCCTCCTCCAGTTGCCGGCCACCTGCAGTAGAAAAAGCTCCAAGGAAATCAGACACGTTTACGTACAAATTTACAAGCTTTACAATCTGGGCAGATACATCTCACGTATCACAACAAAATTCGAGAAATTTTGACCAAAAAATTGTGTATAAGTTGAAAAGGGCCAATAATTTATACCAGAAATGTACAGGAAAGTGGTAGATACATAACCCCCCTTAACGGATGGGAATCCAAATATAGCAGTTGGGTAAAAAGATGATCTAGAGATGGAGGGAGATGGCATCTAGCATCCAATGCCCCGAAGGCTGAAACTGACAGGATAAGAGAGAGGAGAGAGAGAGTCAAAGGGTAAAAAAACCAAATGGGAGTCCTTAATGAGGACAAAACAGGGATGAATGATTCGGGCATGAGTGGTTCTGTTTGGCATGGAACAAACACGTGAAATTTTAACATCAGTTAAGTCGGCCAAAAGAGTGTAAATGGCTTGAGGACGGAGGTAGTTATCCGGGATTCTTGGTTGGTATTGGGTCTATTTCATTTTGAATTAGCAACAAAATCACAAGCATGGGCTGGTCTTTGTCTCCCTTCCGCCATGGATCAATAATTGATTCTCTCTCTCTCTCCAAAGGAGTATGCATAAAAAGCTCCCTCTCTATATATTTCTGCAAACCCATCTCTTTCCATCCCAAGATAACCTGTGATCTTTATTTGAGCAGATAAAGTCAGGAAATGAGACCCTCACATTTTATTTTCTTTTGCCTTCTCTTTACTGCCTTCTATCTTCTTTCGGTGGATCGTTTTCATTCTCCACCTCAACTTTCCGCCTCTGCAAGAAGACCTGCAAGAAAGTACCTTGGTACATCATTTTCCAATCCCGAATCTGAATATCGCAAAGTTAAGGTGGGATAAAGAAACAGTAGCTTTTCTTTTTTTTTTTTTTGAGTCTTACAAGTAACTTGCCAATGGATTCCACCACACCTATCATGCACCTTCTCATGTGATTATGGATGTGCCAAAATGCAGGTTCACAAAGATAATAGACCGTCTGCGGAAGGAATTTCCTCCAACATGCCTGGATATGAAGCAAGTGTTGATAATTTGGGTGAATTTGTCTACCACATCGACTATCATGGAGTGACAACGCATCCAAATCCAACCCCAAAACATCCGTAGCCATAGGCTACGTATCAACTTTTAAGATGGGATGAACTATTCATACATGTACTGCACTACATTTAGACTCTTTTTTAAGATTAAATAATACTCTTATTTGTTTTCACTATCTAGCAATGCTTGTCTTTTTCCATGCAACAACTATAAACAAGGTAAAACCTTGCCCCAAACCAGCACCCAGTAATATACTCTCTAGCCTCTGGAGTTATCAAATACCAGAGAATCATTGCAGATAAGTCAACTTCAGAACTTGCTTGAGCTCACCACTCGCCAAAATCTACATGAACCTGAATTACTTGAAATAGTAAATGTAGTTGGGAAAGAACAAGGAACATTAGATCACTCGTAGTTCAATGCAAAGAAATCATTCCAGTCATATATTGACTTCTGACCTTGCTATACCTCTCCAGCAACTTTTTATAGCACTCCACAGCATTCTCAAATCGCACCTCACTGCAAAATCTGGACTTTACCTCCATAAATGTATTTTCTACCTTCTCTTTGTAATTAACACAAATAGAAAACAGATCTCTTATACCAATTGAAGGCATAGTCCACTTATCTTCTTTGGTTCTTTCTTTTCCATCTACATTAAGAAGCCTAAGCCATCTCATCCGATGGAAGGGATCTTCATCTTTCTCAACTGCAATTTCTATACTAGAAATCACTTCCAAGAATTTTGACTCTCTACTGATTTTATCTATCAATCTATTGAAAATAGTCTTCTGGTTCAGGTCAGGCCTATTATCAGTATCCGAAGGCAAAGAAATTGCTGCTACCAAGCAAGCCTTCCGAAAGTTATGATCAGAGATACTGATTAACCCAATTGCAAAGTGCAACAGTTCTATAGACATAGCTCCAAGTGAAGTATCATATTGCTTTGGGTTATCATTCCAACTATAGATAGCAATGTGAACAAATCCTTCCCACCTGAAGAAGGACAAAAAGGTCAAAACAAAGTAAATAAAAGATAAATTTAGACCAGTCAACTTACTTACATCCTTGAGAATTTTAAATTTCAATAAATTTTCTCTAAAAATTTCTAAATATAGAAAGCAGGATTTCAATGTTCAATTTTTTTCAAGTAATCTGGTATTTGCCTTACTCCATACTAGATCTTAAAAAGTTAACCGTTCTGGCAACAGGCAACCTAAGGCAGCTACAGTTACAGAAAAAGTCTCATAAAACAAATAAAAGATTTTGCATAAAAACATGTAGGTACAATAATAACTATGTAAAATGCACCTGCATGTGAACTTAACTACCATAAATCTTTGCACAACCTGGAACTAGCAATACTATTTTAGGCTTTTACAGTGACACTGATCCATCGATGAAAATTAACTTTGGCATGAACACAAGACATAAAATAGTCGAAATATAAATGATAACGATCATAATGATATATTACTTTCTTGGTTAAAAATCATCCCCGTACAAAACTAACTAATCATATGAAGGTCCTCACTATAGGACACTTCTATAAGCACAATAGCTGTCTGATTAAGCCCCACGGGGTCCACAAATTCAAAGTCCAATTTTAGAAAAACGGAGAATCCAACATGCATTATGGGCACTTGTGAACAAATAGCCATCATCATTGCGATGAAAACCTGATTTTCCAGAAGCATTGGGTCCAAAAAGTTGTTTGTGTCCCATGGAAACATGTCAAGGTTCCATACTTTACTAAAAGTATGTTGGTCACAGCACATGACTTGTTCCAGAGTTGGTTAGACTGTAAAATATATTGGCCTGTTCAAAAGAAAACTTCAAAATAAAATTGGAAAATTTATTTATCCTATTTGCCTCAAATTTGAAGCTTGAGAAAAAAAGGACCATGTTATTTTGAAAACGAATTATCATTACTGGTGATGTAATTATGCGACGGTGAAGGTGTTTCAGCCATCACTCGCTGAACATCTGATTACAACAGGGTAATACTATTGATTCTTTACAAGAAAGCAAAGGCCACTGCTAGAGTCGAATGAAGACCAGTTCATACGTTGAATATAATATCAGCTAATTTAAATATGGGCCACAACCATTATAACTGGAAATTCTTGTTCATAAAAAAGCTTCAAGTGTCAGGATGGGATGTACATGTAACCAGAAATGCTAATTAATAATCAACATGTAATTACGACTGAGGAGAACACTGCAGTAAACTGTATTACAGGAATGCTCTGAGCACATACATGATACGACAGAACAGATGTAAGGTGATTGTATTATCAGTGTTTGGCGTATGCCACTCTCACTATCAACATAATTATTAAGCACGGGTGCATCACTGTGTACAAAAACATGTTCATTCTTACTCATTTCTATGTCATACCATCAATCCTATAAAAATGAAAATTGATTGATAACCTTCAAAACTTTATGCTAGTATCCATTTAGGCATTTTCAAAAAGATGACATCTTAATGACTAGTAAATTTAACAGATCAAAATCAACACTCAATTCTCTCGGGATAGAAATAGATAAAATCTTCATAATGAACATTACAAATTTGCAATCAACACTATAAAGTAGAACATATTCAAAGATACGTCTTAAACAATTGGAAAGCACCAACTCCTGATGATCTCATCCAAAATATCTATCATGTCAATTGGTAAACTGATGGGACCCTAAAGACAACAATTGTAGTGAGGTAAACTAACAGAAAACCTCTCAACGTCTCCACTCAGGAGTTGTACCAAGTAACATTGCACCCTAATGTTTTCCTCCTAGTGCTGTAACTTTCTAATAATTCACCAAAAATAGTAAGAAATTGGCAAAATAACCAAATAATTCCAACGGAAATTAAATTGGGACTTCTGAGGAAAAGATTGATTATGATAGGAATCAGTTTCAAGGTTTCATTTTCCATAGTTTTTGGTTCTGATATGATTTGTCATCTGATGCTTGGTAGTGTAACCCAACAAAATCATCATGTTAAAAGAACTATAAAACCATTGTACATCTTCAAGGATACAAGCCAATGCAATTCCATTATCAGTATTTCATATAGAACAAAAGAAAAGTACCAAATCTAGATTTTGTGCATATATATAGGCCCCAGAAATATCATAATTTTTTATATTCACTAAATCTGAAATTGGAAATGACCTTTAACCTTTGTAGATTTTAAAAATTAAAAAAGAAAAATAAAGAAATAAAGGGTAAAAGAGAGATCGAAAGGAAAAGAAGAAGAAGAGAGAGAGAACTAATTGGATATCAATTCCAAGAGATTCTGAATTTAATAACCGAGCTCAAAACTATTTAGGGAACACCTCAAAAAAAACATGACCAATCAAACCATTTAAAATTCAAACAGAAGCTTCGATTTACTTACTCAAAAGGAGGTTCGACCTCAATACCAAAGGTAAGGTGTAGAGAAGACCCATCAGGACCGTCATTTTCAGTACGAGCCTCGTGAAGAAATCCTCTGGGTATATACAATACATCACCTTCCCTGAGCAAAAACTGTCTTCTTACTGCCAATGGATTCTCGATCTCAGAACAATGTTGGGATTCATGAGCATCATACAAGCGAGGTAACCACATCTCTAGCGGACTAAAAACTGTCCACTGCTTGCTTCCAGCAAGCTGGCATACAAACACACAATGGTCATCATAATGACAAGTGAAACCCTGAGAACCTGGAGGTGTCAAGTACATATTAGCACCTACGGATGGTTGACCAAACAGAGATGCTAAAGTATTTGCAATAGCAGCAATCTTCTCATACCGAAATTCCATGCCTCGAAGAGCAATTGTATACCCCTCTTTAAAAGCTTCTTCACATTTGAGTGCATCATTTAATTTTAAGAAATGAGGACCCTTTGCGAAGCATGGCTCAAAATTCTCCTGAAAGAAATGTATCTCTCTTTTTGAACACCTATCTGTTCTCAGGACACGTATATCTTGCTGATAAATTAGAGGAAATCCCAATTCATTTTTCACCTCTTCTAAGAAATTATGTATATCTAGTTCATCTGAGGCAATAGGATTACAAGAAACCAATCTTCCAAGCATTGGCGAAAGAAAGGAATCAATAGAGACTACAGATCCCATGAATGATCTGATAATATCAGCTTCTTCATTCATGGTTCTTGAGAATTTTTGCATGAGCAATGGTGATGCTTCCCAGTGGTTTAACATGAATTCTTCAAATTTTGACCCACTTAAACCAAATAAAGTTTTCACCTCCTTCACCGGTATTAGTCTGCTAACTTGATCAGTACTAATTGAAAGCCTAAAAATACTGACGGCCAGATCATTGGTGCTAATTTTGCTTATATCAAATTTCTCCTGCAAGCTGCACTGGAAACTGTTGATTAGCACCATTTTATTACGGACTTCTATCCACTGATTTTTCAAAAATGCCAAGAACATTTGTGAGCAGTATCTTGGTATCTTTTCCAAATGCTTGAAATGGCAAGTGTTAAGGAGAACTATAGCTGCATTAAGAATTAATATTGAAAGCTCATCTCCTCTAAATCCTGCCTTCAGGGTCGCAAAATTTTCATTATATACGGTGCCTACAGAAACTGACATCTCTGAAGAGGCTGAAACCTGCAGAAATGCAGACCTGATAAATATTAAGTCAAGTTATCCAAGAAAATACACCGAACTTGTAAAGACGTTAAATGGATTTAACTAGCATTCGCTGCGAAGACCGCCACACCACCAACTGGCGATGCATTTTTCTCTCTCTCTCTCTCAGAAAGTGGTTATATGTATCAAATTAATCATATTTGAATTGAATTATAGCATCAAAAAGTTCTATCAGCCACCATATCCCCTTTTCACTGCGTTCGTTTTGAAATCCAAAGATACAAAATCAAAAAGAAGAAGATACTTAAGTTCAAAGCATTGCACCATATGAGACGAAATAACCAAGAAAGATAGAAGGGAACATGGGGAGTCAGAGTTTGAGTCAATAGCAATAAACAGTAAACACTCACATAAGACGCTCGATGGCAGATACCTCCACCAAGCTCCGTCGCCCAAACGACGTCGTGGACAAATCCAGAACAGCATTACAAGCAGCCAACGCAACCGTTCTATTCGAGCACGCCAAGGCAGAGATCAAAGCCTTCAGAACCGCGTCATCGGAAGCAATCTCTTCATTCACACGGAGCGAGAGGAGCGAAGCAGCGCCCACAATCTCGGCGGCACGAGAAGCAATTCCTGGGCGCCTGAAACAGGAGGAAAGAAAAAAAAAAACAAATTAAGAAACAACGCAAGAGTATAGATAATCCAAGTGGGGCAGCTAAAATGCAAAAGCATTGAAGAAAGAGGTGGGTTACCGGGAGAGGATGAGGAGAGGGAGTAGAGAGAGAATGGGAGGCGGCAGAGTTTGTAAGGGGCGGGGAGACTGTGGAAAAACAGCGAGACGGAGCTCGGCCAAGCATTTGGAAATCAAGGAGACGGAGCAGGGATTGCGAGGGCTGGAGACGGCGGCGAGTAGAAGAGAGAAAGTAGAATCGATTTCGAAGTTGCAATTGGAATTGGAATTGGATTGTCTCTTCCGTTTGCTCCTCGAGCTCGAACTGGAAGTAGAGATGTGGATGTCGCCATCGCCACAGAGCTTCTTCTTCTGCTGCTCCATTTACGCACCCTGCGAATTGTGTACTCCCTCGCCGGAATCTCGCGCGCGCTGCTCACCCCTTTTTCTTTATTTTTTTTTTCTTTTTTAAGATTTGTCGTTTATGAGAAATAAAACAAAATGTTTAAATAAATTTGTTTCTTTTTTACCTTTTTTTTAAAGGTTTTATTTTATTTTGATTCTTAGTGTTGAAAAAATATATTTATTTTGAATTTTTTATATTTAAATTCTTGAACTCTCCATAAATAATTATATTTGATCCTTAAAAGTATTATATTATATCGATTATCTAACATTATCTTAAATAACATAGATGTGGTAATAGAAGTGTACACTGTACATTGGATGAGACTTGCCAACAAAATAATTACAAAAATCAAATTTGTTATTTTTTTAATAGTTTATGGGGGAAAATTGAATGAATGTGAAAGTTTTTTTTTTTTCCCCTCAAGTGGAGCAGAAACTCAAACTTGCAATGGAACTATTAAACCAAAATAAAATAAATAAATCAAAAACATATTTTTATTCAATTTTGAATATTCTCGCTCTAATTTGTAATTACCAATCGAACTACCCCTTAACGGTCAATTGCGGTCAATCTATTATACTATAGAAACAATTCTTGAGATATTACCTGAATTTATAAACTATAAACATCTTTTTCTAATTTCTAGGTTTAGATTTAAAAGTGCTTTAAAACTAACTTACCTTTCGGAAGAAAAAAATCAATAAATTGGTTAGAGTCAATTTTATTTAAGTATAAACAATTAGAACCACGTCTCTTTCATTGAGGTAAAATATAAATTTTTAAAACATTGATATCTTAGATTACAAAAACAAAATGACAAATAACTTTTTCTTATTGACAAAGCGACTTAATGAGATTCAATGAAGCAGTTCAATCTATTCCAAAACCTCCTCACAAGAATAGCATCAAGATTTAAAGTATATGATTTTCAGAGGTAATAGTAATCAAAAACATGTTTAGACTACATTAACAATCTAAATAATTCTTATTTATCCGAGAGAGTGAGAGAGAGGGAGGAAAAAAACAGGCTTTGGTGCTCTATTTCCGAGACAAAATACTATCTCGCAGTGTTAAGAGTTACAATTGAGCAGATGATTCAAGCAAAATATATTCTGTAGGTGCAAAGATATCTGCTTACAATTGATGGTTTGATTTCAGAGATCTGCTCTATCCTCTTCCTTAATGCCCAGGAGTTTGCTCAATTTTCCACTCTCATATGCAGCAACAGTATCTGGAAATCAGAGTTTCAATGAGTAGAAAAAAGTACTTTAAAGAAAAGCATATTATGGACGACTAAAGGCCTTGTTAGATAACCCTTTTGTTTTCAGGTGTATGTTTTTTAAAATTATGGTTGTTTGTTTACAATTTCTTTAGTATATTTCCACTCTACTTAAAAACACATGCGAATTCTTAGCCAAATTTTTTTTTTTTTTTAAGTTTTTGTTTTAGTATTTGAAAATTGAATTGAATTTTGAAAATGTTTTAAAACGGTAGATATCAAAGCAAAGAAAAAAATAGTGTTTATAAGCTAAATCTTATTTTAGAAAACAGAAAACCAAAAACAAATTTGTTATTAAACGGGACCTAAGCTGTGAAAGAAGAACCAATTACCATCTGATCCACCTATGTGTTTTCCATCAATGAACACTTGAGGTACAGTGTGCCTTCCAACAAGTTCACCAACAGCATCTTGGATTTCACGTCCATCATCTGTGTGATACAGATCCAAATTCTATGAATAAATTACCTTTAGGATATAAGTAATAGAACAGCACAAGGAAATAACGCTGGATAGAAAAATATATGGAAACAATAGCTGGATATATGTCCACTGATAAGAGTTTTGGCCAGTTGATTTAGAGAATTCATCCAGAGTTTGAATTCTTTCCACCCTTGTCGAAAACGGAAACAAAACAAAACAAGACACCTGCACCGAAACTATAAAGATAAAAAAAGAAGATAAAGCACACAGTACATGAAATAACCAGTCAACCCATTTTCGAGATTTTTTTTCTCAGTGAAAAGACATTTCAAGTAACATTAGTCGGCCATGCTCTTGCACTTTCATTGCTCTTTTCCTCCTTCCTTTACCATATCCTGCTCTTCATCCTCCATAACTTTAACTCTCTAAAGAACACATAAATTAGAAAGAATTGCCTTCCAAGAGGATACACTTCTTAACCAACGGCGAGAGAGAGAGAGATAACTGTGCTGATTAGGCAGGGTAATTTGAAATTTGGATTATTTAAGAATACAGAAACTAAGTAGATAAAAATGCGCAGATAGGCTAAGAATTTTGGACGAAGAGAATATAAGATCCCCAACCAAACATGTTGGTTTGGAAAGCACTTCAAATAGCATCATGTCACTGGACCTGATATACATAAACATTGCACTTGCAGCTTCTTTTTGCAGGTTTTGAATGAAAGAAATCAAATAATTTTTTAGGGTTCTTTTGATTCTTTTAGACAGTGTATGCAAACAACTTCCTTATAGTGCTTAAAACACAAGAAATTATTTTTTAACTACGGCTTATCCATGATCCTTCAAGATTGGGAAGCGCTGAGCTTTTTGTTGGGAGGGGACTTTCTCATCTCATGCCCCTAAGTTGTTCTTTTATTCTTTCTTGTGTTTATAGATTTCGTCTCTTATCCAAAAAAAAATCATTGCACTTGCAGGTATTCAACATTTTAAAAGGTTGAGGCAACCCTCATTTACTAGATGATCCTTATAAATTATGATGAATTAGAAAATAACAAAAATGGAAGGAGAAGAGAGGCAGATGAAGAAAAGGACAATAAAGAGGCTAAGCCATTAAGTTAAGACCTAAGCTTTAAAAATCTCAAATATGCCCATACCAACTGTAATATCACAATCCAAAATTTGCATAATTCGAAGAGAATAAGCCGGAACAATTGACAGGAATCTAGATAAAATGGCTGGGGCCAGAAGACATGAAATAAAGGAAGCAACTAAATATCAAGAAAAAAGTTACTCGGTTTCAATCAAATTTAAGCTAAATTCTGCAGTAAATAAGAGTGTTGTTATTGTTAATTTTCATAACATGGCAACAAGAAGACAGATTAAGCAAGTACCTCTCCGATCCAGCTCAACAACATGAGGAACTTTCTTCAATTCCTCGAAAACAGCTTTTGCCCTTCTACAGTACCTGCATTGCACAATCAACAAAATTCAACAACCGGAATTCCAAAATTCGAATTCGTCATTGGTAGAAGCCGAAATCCCCTTTCAATCCATCCATCAATCCTCGATCTGCTTCTAATTGCAGCGTAACAAGATTAAAACAATTGAAGACATAGCCACCGCAGTGTAAGAGGAGAACAACGAAATTCGACTTTAAGAAACGAGACTAATAGATCCATGTTCGAAATGAATAAACAGATTGAGATAAGAAAGAGAGGGAGATTGAAAATACGGGCAATAGGACTTGGAGAAGATGACGATCTGATGCGACGCGATGGTCTTCTTGACGAAGAGCGATTCGGGGGAAGACGAGGCCCCGCATAAAGACGCCGCCGCCATGGCGCACATCACAGCTGCTGATACCGTTAGCATCTTCCTCACATTCACCGTCGCCGCCATCGATCCAACTTTCGATCAATCTCTAAGCTCGTAAGAGATGAACTAGGGAAGAAAATTACTGAAATTCAGAATCCTTAGAATATTCAGACGTCTTTTCTTTTTTTTTTTTTCATTTTTTAACTTCATAAAATATTTTTTTCTTGATCTTGTATTTCCAAATATAGCAAAAGTTCAAGATTTTATTTATTTACTTATTTATTTTTTGAAACGAAGTTCAACATTTTATTAAAGAAAAAAAAAACTTAAAACAAATCATGGTCGACCTAAAATATAACCAAACTTATACTATATATGAAAAATAAAACTACGTACTTAAAAATACATGAACCACGTCTCCCAAAATTATACTCAATACAGGTAATATAATTTTTTATTTTTATATTTTTGATATAGTGTTAATTAACAAAATTACTTTAAAAGATATTTAAGGTTTTCGATAAGTCCTTTTACTTTATTAAATTGATTAAAAAGAATTGGGTGATTGATTGTGATTGTTAACTTTCAATGCATGAAATTATTAAGAAAATGGAATCGACATCGACACGAGGAATAAATCGACATTTCCTACAAAATACGAAAAACATCAACAAAATGTCACTAATATATAAATAATATTAATATTAATTATTTTCAACACTTATTTAGAAATAGGAAAATATTTATTTGTTAATTTAAATATTTTTATGATTTTTTAATTTCTTTAATTTTTACAGAAATATCCATCAACATCGACATTTTATCATATTTCCATAAAATTGAGACCTCGATATTTCCATCGACATCGACATTTAAAATCTTGATGAAAATTGACGGGCGACATATTTAATTAGCAGAATTTGATTTTTAAAAAAAATTAAAATCATCAACCTACTAAATATTAAAATTCTTAAAAAAGAAAATGTCAGAATCTCCCTTGGAAGGTAAAGCGCACACAATGGGCTAGGGTTTGCCCTAATTTGCCTCTTACTAGCTCCAAGAAAACTCTAAAGACAGGCCTAGATCATCCATACTAACAGACTTTTGAATAGTAAGATTCAAAATCAACAAGGTGATTGCCACAATCGTTTGTATGCAAAGGTCTCTTAAGCAATCGCACGGTGGAAAATAAAATGATCGAGCAATGACAACCGTAAAATGACCTGTTATTTGAAGAAAGCATTATAACTAACTAGCCACTAGAGTCTAGCTTCGTAACACCAAAAATGTATAGGCCTTAACAAGTGATTCACTGAATCAAATTGACAAGATCAACAAAACACGATGTGTAAAGCGCTGCACATATACTACACTTGAATTTCCATGAGAACTCTTTTCAAGTCCATTCAGTCTTCTGTTCAACTACATGGATGAGCATTGCATCCAAACTCCAAACACATCGGTTCTTCCCCACGGAGTTATTGCCTTGAAGACTTAACATAAACTTCACCAACCGCCCATCCTTGATGCCTCTAAACTCAATTTAATTGACAATGCCACAAAACTAACCCATCAGATGTTAATTTCTCATCTACTAAGCCCTACTGCTGGCTTCAGATATCAAAAATCAGTATTAACTTTTCCTATCTCCTCCTTCAACACGTGATCGTTTTGACACGATCCAATTCAAGCTTCCTGTCTACACTACTACAGCGCTCCAATCTCACAAATGAACACTCCAAATATCTGGGTACATATTGTTGAAGAAACTCCTCACATTGAGCCCGTAGATAGCTAACTAAAAGGATTAAGAAAAACTAAGAGGATAAGAATAGGTTATCTCCAACACATAATAGGAAACTTGATCAGAAACACTCTATCAGTATCAACCGATAAAAGAAAGAGTTAGCTTCTCTCTCATTATCATTAAGAAGGAAATTTTCATGCTATGGTCTATAATTATTTGAATAGCACGTTCAAGAAATGTTCAAAGTGATCCTAGATGAAATGAGTAAAAAGGCAAAGGGCACAACGTAACCGCATATGATCGACATCCTTTCCTCGAATAAATAATGCACTAATGAAGGAACGAGGAGTGTCACCATCAAGCTATAAGGCTAAGCAGGGCAGGGGATGTTGAATCAAAAGTTCTACCATCATCGCCCCATCAGGGTATCCCTAAAAATTGAGCCTAAGGATGAAAAGATCTTACAAACCAAGGCAACCAAAGAGCATTTATCAATGATTAACTTATATAAACCAATGTAGGACCAAACGAAACACATAGGCAACAGGCCACAATCCTCTAAACAACAAATTTGCAGGAAAATAGACCAGCAAAGCACATCAGCACCTTTGAGGGCTATAGACTTTAAATCAAAGACTGGACCGTTATGAATAAATTAATATAGCAAATATTACACATCCAGAGAATAGTTAGACAACCAACAATCAGCGTGTAAGCCTGCTGCATAGAAAAGTAATGAAACGGCATTTTCACCGAACAAGGATAATGGTGATTTTGAGGCAACTGATATACTGAATAAGTTTGTAATTATCTAGTCTAACAAAGAAAGCATTATTGATATTTGATCAACTCCTTTTCAGAAAACAAGTAAAATATCAAATAAAGGGGGGAAGGAAAACAAGAATGGTTTTAGCTCTTAATCTATTACAATACCTAACTGCAATTGCATTCTCTGTGCTGGCTCTTTTAGCATGCACCTCAATAATCAAGTAAATTCAAGGTAAATCCCTATTATTCACATTCAAAACATAATGTGACATTTTGCACTAGCCCGCACAATCCTGGTGTGTCTAACCTTCATAAGCGTCAAGCGACAGCATAAAAAATTAAGACTATAGAAAACATGATTAGATAACGAATTAGCTTCCTAACGTCGATCATACTGCTTCATCGACTACTTTACAGAGGTAGAAATTTTTGTCCAAATTCATCTCACCTCACCTCACCTCAGTGTCATCCATATGACAGCATTAGCAATTTCCACAGAATTTCACTATAAAACAAATTAGAAAATAATGGAACGCAAATAATTTAGAAGCTTTTAGTTTTAAAAAGAATGTTATCAATATGCAATAAAGTAACTGAAGAATGAAAAGATTTCTCGAGGACATAAATTACTCAGAACCTCCAGCTTCCGATCTTCAATGAAGCTTCTCCCAAATCTGCATACTACTCTATAAAATGTCTAGACAAACAATAAAAGGTAGAATAAATAGGATAAATATTAGACCCATCCATCAACTTATGAATGCTCGAGCAAGAGGCTACAACAAAGAGAGCATTCTGCATGTCGGGTAATTAGATAAAAATTAAAGACGAGAAAAAGGGTAGCAATCGGTGTATCAACAAATTTTCAGAAACATAACAAACTGACTAGCAAATACATCAAAACAAGAAGAAAATTTCAAGAAAAATACGCTTATAAAGGAGAAAACCTCTTTAATATTCTGTAGGTAAGTCCTGGAGATACTTGAATCTGGCAGGCTAATTTAATTTAATTTAATTTTTTTTATTCTTTCACGTTATGAACTTGTAATGGTCACAAATGAGCAAGCAAATCAGAGCAAAAAGCAACGACACTTCAGAGTATATAGATAAAAGACTCGATTATGTTCTGAAATTTACTATGTATATATAGAGGGCTTCATTGAATCGGTTGTGTGACCGACCGCAACCACATAAAACTTTGAAAAAAGAACTATCTCGATATTGCACACGCAAACCACATAGAATCCTTCACCAACAGCAAACGGATACATTGTTATTAGTAGTCAAAAAAGAAAAGGGGAGGGAGAACGTAGATCACAGTGAAGAAAATCTGTACAAGTGTAGAGAAGTTGTTGGAAGTACGAGGATTTAGACAGGGGGTATGTTGGAGAAGGAGAAGCCTTTGAAACCCTTATAAGCGTAGTAGGCAATCCGCGTGTAATAGAAACCCGGAATAAACAAGAGACCTCCCAACAAAGAGAAAAACACCCCTGAAAATTTTCAAGAAAGAGGCAGAAAATTAAAGTTGAACTAGGGCAAAATTGCAGCGGAAAAAGAAAGGCAAGAAAAGTACCGTGAGCACGATCACCACCGACTCGATTACTGGCCATGACGATTCCAACGACGATTCCAATGGTGCCGAAAACGAGAAGAGCGACGGCGAGAGCGATCTCCTTGAATGGTGGCCGGTTGTTCACCGCGAACGGCGAATCCATCATAATGTCCTCGTCTGTTATCGAAAACGCATGGTCCACGTACGCCATCTTCCCCTCTCTCTCTCTGTTGAAGGAAGAATATGGCGTTGAAGCTTCGATCGGCAGAGAAAGGAGTCGGATTTGGTGGCGGCGGCGGCGGCGGAGATGACTATGACGATGGTGGAATTGTTGAAGCTCCGGCTGTGTTTTTGACTATGAGCGAAGGCGAAGGTGGAGTCGAAAGAAAGGCAAAAAACTTCCACGTCGGCGTTGGGAAAGTAAAAGCTTATCTTAGTTAAATGAATAATTAAATGCAAAACAATAAATATTCAATTCAAGTTTAAGATTTTGAAATGTTCTGTTTTATTTTTTTGTTTAATTAATGATTTTTAGGCTTCTGACGCTTTAAACTTCATTTGTAATAATTATTCTAATTTCGTTTTCATATCTGAAAAAATGAGTTTGCAAATAAATGTTAAATTATTAATTTAGTCCGAATTTTGGATTTTTCAGACCCAAAAAAAAAATTGGATTTAGTTCCAATTTGATCCATTTATTTTTTAAATTATAAAATTTCTTCTTTTCTAACCTTTAAAATTTTAATTTAATTTATAGAATTTGTTGGCTGTCATATATCCGATCATCATTTTTTTTCTTTCTTGTTTCTAAAAACATGGAGGAAAACATTAAATTTTACTTATGCCGCCCCTCTTAATCAATTTTCCCCCTAAATTTTCAAACCAACTCTACAATTTTTAAAATTATTCAAACTTTAACTATATTTGATCGATGAGCAGATAATTAATATATACTTCAAATCAAGAGAGTGAGTTCGAATCTTAATTTCGTCTCAGACTAAAATGATCGCTTTTTAAAAATACAGGGATCAAAATGAATATTTTCAAGGTACTGGGACTAATATATATTTCATCCAAAATTTGATGAAAGTACAATAGAAATCTCTCAAATCACAGCAATTCATACAAAAATTTAAATATTATGTTTAAACTAGTCAAGTCAATGCACAATATAAAATATGGAATGAATCCCTCAAAATTACAATTTTTAACATAAATCAAATCCTAGTACAATCTTTGATAAAGTTGCATCAACTTCATATCATATTTACATTTCGGAATGAGTATACATACGATGTTCCTAAAGAATGGTGTAGCGACAAAGATATTGAACTTTATGATATCATATACCTTGAGGTATTGTATTCGAATCCTACTTTGATCATTATATTCATAAAAATAATATTAACTAAAATGAATCAAATTTGAAAATACTATAACAAACATCGGGATAAAAATAAAAATAAACCAAATTGGAAGTGATTATATTTTAAGTATTTAAACCTATATTTTTTTAAGAAGTATTAATTTCATAGCACACGTGTCATACTGTCACGGACTCACGGATGATGAAGCTGCATCCGGTCCAGCCATTCGGTTGCTATCATTTTCCTGGTTCGCGCCACCAAACCGACCGGACCGAAGTAGCCAGTTTGGTTTTTACACAAACCCGGAGCCGCCGGGTTTTTTCATTTTCTTCCCTTTCAGTTTCAGTCTTGTGGAGGTTTGGGCTTCTGTTTGGTCGGAGAAGGGGAAGAACGAAATTAAGATTGCAGGCCATCGACTCCGTCACACCTTCCCGGTACGTAACTTATGATCCTAAATCAATTGCATTAGAAAATGCTCTAGTTTGTTTACTTATGGCTTATTCAAATCGCTAAGAAAATTGGAAATGGATCTCGATTTTTGTTGAATTTCCCACTCTCTGCCCGATCATATTCCTTCTTCGCCTTTATCTATGAAGTTAATTGGGAGCTTGGAATGTTTAATTTCTTGAACGTCAATTACTTTTCTCGTGGAGCTGCTTTCGTGATTTGGCCATGAATTGATGGATGGTAACAAAGAAAAAGAAAATTTATTGGTTTTGTTCTGCTCAGGGTCATATTATTTTCCTCCCATCTATGGAAACGAAATTGCAAGATTCAGTTTTTGTAGAACTCGTTGCTTTACACTACCGAATCCTGTGCTTCACTATATTGATGATTCCGTGAGGCATATTGTAATTGCAATTTATTACAGTGTCTTGATTCTCTATTACTAGGTCGCTAGGAAACACGGACAAAATATGTCGCTTTTGTTTTGTTTTTATTTTTTTTCCTGACCCAATGTGGTTGTTGAAGAAATTGTGACGTTACTTTTCACTTGGTTTTTTAGGATTTTTTCCTCTTTTCTAAATGGATTTAAGTAAAACTGAAATCAACTTGAAGCGGCTGCTGGCTACTGCCCCTCGTCAGAAGGATCAAGCCAAACTAATACATGTACGTCCAGGTGATTGTGTGAGATTTCTTATTGGTTTGGTTATTAGTCATGTAAAGAATTTGATAACATTCTTTTGGTGCACTTCTTGCAGTATGTTACTACTTTAAGAGAGCAGTTGGAGCAACTTGCAGAAGAGAAAACACCTGAAGGCTTATCAAGGTTGATATACTTCATTCCTTGCTTCCCCATTGCTTCCCCATTGCTTCTAGAATCAGTTCATTATGGATAATGCTCCGGACGGTTTCTCATTACTTTCGTACTATCAATTTGCATAAGGTTTAATTTAACCTTATTGGACACAGACTGATCTCAGAGCCTCGAGATTTTATAATCTGGACATTGTACTATGTGATGTTGGTTCTTCGTGCAGAGTTTCAAAGGCTTTGCTTGGTGATTATTCAGAGAAGATAGAGGCCATTGCTTCGAAATTAGCTGTTCCTTTGGTACATTTACATGGGTTTGTTGCTTTCAAGTTGTTCTCTGTTAGCTTTTAAGATTGTGGAACTTCTTGACATCAAAATTGTCATTTGGATCCGGTTTCTCTTTTCGTTTTTGGTAAAAGAGTGGTTTACTTAGATTTTATTTATTTATTATTTTTTCAAAATAAATGTAGATCAATTTAATTTCTTTATTTTCCATATAAATTTTGAAGTCCTGGAGTTGCATAGTCTCCGGTGTACTTCGTCTATTAGTTCTTGCTGCATTTTGGGAGAAGTTAATTTATACAAGCTATTGACATCATAGATGGGTGGAAGTATTTTCTGAATTTTAAAGCACTTTTCATGTAAAAAAGATTGCAAAAAATGTTCTAAAGTGCATGCATTATTTGTCTATGGCTGACTGCACATTATATTTTTTATAATGAAAAACATTTGTGAAGGTTAAAAATTTCAGTCATCTGGTGTTTCTGTAGCAATATAGTTTTTCTAGATCTAGCTTTTGCTTGAAACTTTGTGGATCCACAGTATAATATTAAGTGCTCACTTTACCTTTGATGGTTTGTGTTGATTCTGACTTGTGAGTTATGGAATCTTTTCTTTCAAATCAATTGTACATGCTACCATCTCGGGAGCCTCATTCCTTTTGCTTGCATCTGGTGTTGTTTTGTCTCTTTTAACTAATTTTTTGGTTAACTTGCAGCCTGATGTGGAAGAGTCTTCTGAGCCCTCTACAAGTGCTTCAGTTAGAGAATTTTCTTCTGTAGTAGAAGGAGAAGTAAACACCCTTTCATCTCCAGGACTAAGGAGGAGATTTCAGTGAGTGATTCTTGTTAGGATTTGTGTGACATTGAGTTGTCGATGGAGTTTTTATCAAACAAAAGCTATTATATCATTGGGCAGGCCTTCCTCTGTTGTGGACGATAGATCTCATGGTACCATCAAAGAAGACTCGTCAGCACCTGTCAAGTTGGATGCAGCAGCAATATCCCACATCGAGAAACACAGGTATCAACCCTTGTACTTTTTTGATAAATTTTGCACTTTTTCTTCCTCCTCATAGTTTACAGTGTTATATGGTGAATTTTCTCTAAGTGTATTAATTTAAAGGATAAGACAATTGAGTCTATGAAAAGAACGAAGTTCCCCTTTGTTCGTTGTTGTTAATAGACATTTATTGCAGAAGATTTGAACTATTGAAAGCTGCTTTTTGGGATTATCTGTTGCTATATTCCACTTTCTTCAGGAGTAGTAATCAGGTTGCATGTTGCGGCTTATGTAAAGGTTGAGCTCGGTTTTATGAAGGAAACTGTTTCTGTTTCTGAAGTTCTTTAGGAATTATATGTTGGAATTACAAGGCAAGATTAGATAAGAAATCAATCAAAGACAAAGAATTCATAAGGGAGATTTGAAGCGTTAATGAACTACCTACAAATTTCGAATCATCATGGAATGGCTCAAGTGGTCACTGAGAGTCAATGTAAATAGCAAAGGACTTAGAGGGAATGAGCTCAAACCATGGTGGCCACCTACTTAAGATTTAATATCCTACGAGTTTCCTTGTCAACCAAATGTAGTAGGTCAGATGGTTGGCCCGTGAATAGTCGAGGTGTGCGCAAGCTAGCCCGGACACACGGGTATCTAAAAAAAAAAAAAAAACTATCTACAAATTTCGATAATGGTACTTTAATGAAATGGAAAAAACTAGGCCAGACAATGTGGGTATCTTAATTAACTGGAGTACAAATTAAATGAAAAGTTAGAAAATGAAACATGCAAGGCTTCAGCTGCTTGATTATCATTCCGATCTGATTAGTTTTGTGTCATTACTTTACTAATGCTTACAGTCTGTCATGAAAACTATTATTAATTTGCTGTGATAGGAAGCTTCAAGAGGACTTGACTGATGAAATGGTTGGCTTAGCAAAGCAACTGAAAGAGAGCAGTCTGATTATGAGCAAATCTTTGGAGAACACTGAAAAGGTATCTCTACTAATCCTTCCTCATTGATGTAGGAGAAAGTGGAGGAATCTTGCTTCCGGATTCTATAGAACACATATATACACGCAATGAAGAATCTGAAAAAAAAAAAAAAAAAAAAACTACATTTTCTCTCCATACTCAAAAAGTGTGCTTTCGGGAATTCTTGCTTTCCATTTAGTTAGCTTCTTCAGTACATATACTTCATAGAATCGGAGGTTTTCTGTTTCAGTGACTGGGTAACATTCTGAGGTTTGTGTTCTTGAAATGTTTCTTATTAAATATACCATTAGAATTAACATAGATAGCAAAGTGGAATAGAATGCAATGAAGGGCCGGATCTTGACAAAGGCTGTAACTCCTCATTAAAGGCATCTTCCAAAATCATACTGCCACAAGCCCCTATTCCAACTTCTGAGAAACTGACCTTTCATCTGAAGATTAGAAGTTGAATAATACAAATGGAAGTTCTCTTGAACTCTATTATTTTCACATGTACTGCCGATGCATGGGATTTAAGATATAGAACTGAACTTTTTGGGATCATAATAAAAGTTTTTGGGGAGACTTTGGGGGATATAGAATGCATAATTGATAATATTCCTCTAATTCTTGGTGGTGACCAAAGCCTTGACATAAATTTAGGTCCTTTAGGTGGGTGAGATGGTCCTCTAATCCCTTGCCCTTTATCATATTTGATGATGTTTTAAATTTACGTTCATTTCACGATTCAATCACAAAGGAGAGCATGATATTAGCCAGGCGTGGACCTTTTACTTCTGTACTATGGTCTTCTGTTGCGGCAAGCTGTACTCTGTATTTTTCTTTATTTGATCTGCCTTTCATGAATATTTTTCTTTTTATTGGCAAAAATGCCAAAGGTTACCATTGCAGTTAGTGATAATAACAGTGGTCATCACTGATTCACTCTCGCATATTACTTTTTGTCTACTCCACAAGATTCATGACTGATCTAGTAGTAAACTTGATCATTGGCTTGATACAGATACTGGATTCCACAGAGAAGGCCGTTGAGGATAGCTTGGCAACCACCGGTCGGGTCAACAAACGTGCTGTCGAGATTTACTCAGAGAGCTCGAAAACTTCATGCTTCACTTGGTTGGCAATCTTTGCAATGACCTGCGTTTTCGTAATGGTCGTGCTTCTAATTCGAGTCACTTGAACTACCAGGAACTAATTTGCATTCTCGAATTTAGTTCACAAACTTTCAGACAAAAAAGAAACCAGAATAGATGGTGAGAATTCATATCAAAGGCCCTTCTTTAATTTTAAATATTGTGACTAAGTTAGCAATGGTTTCAAAATTTGCAGTTTGGTACGCTTAATACGTATGTAGTTGAAATTTGAGAATTTGTTAGAGAGAGAGATAACCTCTGATTTCTAATGTACAGATTTGTCTATTTTACAGACAATTCCAAAATTTGTCTTGTGCTATATATTGTATTGTTCAGTAGAAGTATCTTGATGTAGATTTGGTAGTGTTTTAAGTTTTAACTTTTGCTTCAAATTTTTAGATTTCTTATCTTATATGTTTGGTCTAATTTTTGAATGTATATATTTGAATTTCCGACTCTACCCATTTCTTTTCAAATTCAATCTCTATTAACAAGGGGTAATACAGACTTTTCCAGTTTAGTTATCCATTGATTTGACCTGACATCTTGAAGGTTTTTTGCTCCAATTTGTAGTTCTAATAATATATATATATATATATATATATATATATTTTAAAGATAAGGTATATATGTAATATGTTTGTTGATGAAGCTGGTGAGGCTGACTTGTAGCTTTTTTATTTTTTATTTTTGTTATAAATTGAAATCATTTGTTGGACAAATTATTCTTTAAAAATATATAAATAGCTCTGACCCTGTAATATGAGTAGCATTAATCTAAATTTCTATTTTTTATTAATACCCACAGGAAATTTCCTTTCTGAATTTAAATTTTCAACAACTCCATAATTTTATATACGATGTTGGGTTCTTCCATGTCTTCTAATCTTTTATTTGAATCTTAGGAACATATTTTTGTTAACTTTTCTTATTATGTATTTCCCTTTCCATTATTATCTAAATTAAAGGGAAAATAATAACTAGAATACCCTTAACTCAAAAAAAAAAAAAAAAAGTAATATGCATTTTTTAAAAAAGAACCAAAAAAGCTATTTAAATTTTAAAGTTACAATATCAACGATCACGCATAAACGACTATGATTATGAAAATAGAAAATTATGCAAAGTAATTGAATATCTCAAGTTGTGGCCTCCAATCTTGAAATTAAATCAGTAAATATAATAAGATTAACTTGATTAATGTAATACTATAAATTATACTCATCATCTATTTTAAGTTGTAAATTATATGGTACAATAATGAATATTTGATAATTAATGATATAGACCAAAGTTTTAAAAAAAATGGGGATGGGGACAATATATATTATTGTACATATTACAGACATTAATTTCTTCACTCCCAACATTTGAGGAAGAAGAAGAGGACATGAACAGTAATTATTAGGTTTTTCCTCTTTTTTCTCCTCTCTAAATCTGTGTCCAAAATTTAATTATATCAGTTGTGTTGGTTTTGCCTTTACACCTCACTGAGATTCTTTGATTAATCCAAAGAAAAATCTTTAAAAACTTTATATATATCATTATTACACAGATTAATTCGACAGTGAAGAAGTACTTAGCCCCTCACATGCCCACACAGCTTCCAGCTTGTTCAACAATGGCTTTTTCTGAAGATGATCTGAAAGAAAAATTCGAAGAAAAGCAAGAAAATTTTACCAAATGGGGGCTTCTATGTCTTCTCATTCTACAAAATGAAGCATCAACAAAGACAATTTTAAGAATTTGAAACAAAAGTTTGACCTGGGTCGGAGCGAAGAAGGAAGGAGAGAGACAATTGCCCGCTCTTAGTCCGTCTTAGACCGAAAATAATTATATGAAAATTTTAGCAAAAAATGTAAAATATTGCATCTATGAAAATTTCTTCCACTATTAGAGGTGATAATCAATATTAAACGGAGAGGAAAGGATGATAATACATCACATCAGTTCAAGTTCGAATACAAAATCTTCTACCCTAATAAGAAAGGACGATAATACATCACATCAGTTCGAGTTCGAATACAAAATCCTCTACCCGATACTTAAGTTAAATCATCAATCACCTAAAAACTCAAGTGGATGAATTACTGTCAAAATCTGTACAATCTTGAAAGGAAAAAGAAAAGAAAATAAATAGAGATGAGAGATGAATTAGAATGGTTGTTTGTGAGATCAATTGTTTGAGTTATACACAAACCCATGAGTTAATTAATCAAGAAAAAAAAAAAGAGAGAGAGCATAAAATGAAACAATAAATTAGTACAGAATAATTAAGAAGATGGATGGTTTTTTTATTTGGCTCTGATCTTCTTGGAGGGAGTTTGAAGCTCAATATAAACAGAAGCGAGATCTTGGGGAGCTTCAAAAAACGGCGGCGGCGGGAAATTCAGTTTTCTTCGCGGCGGCCGAGGTTTCTTCGGCGCCGGCGGACACACCATGGTCGACTTCAGCCGGCTCCCGGCCGCGGTCGGCGTTTGGCATTCTTCTTCTTCCTCTTCTTCCCGTTTCGCCTCGGGTTTTCCGGCGACCTGAATTGTAGTTAGTAGCGTTGATCTTAAGGGAGTAAGTGGCCGGAATTCTTCAAAAACTTCCATACCCATTATTTGTATTGAGATTTCCGACCAAATTAAACTCCAAAGTCTCTGCCTTTGATCTGATCTTAATATATCTGAGAGAGAGGCAATTGAGATGGTGATGATGGGAGGTGCTGAAAGAGAGACACAGACAGATATATGAGAGAGAGAGGAAAAAAAAAGAGACAAATGGTATGGGAGAACGTGGGTGGGGACTATAATTCGGTGGAGGAGAGAGAGAGGAGGAGAGAGAAGATGATTCTAGGGCAGAGCCAAGAATGAAACAGACTTGAATGTAGTGCATAAATTTGTATTACAATGTCTACTAAGGGATTCGTTCTTGTTCGTGTAATTTCAAAATGTTTGTTTTATCTTTATATCGTTTAAAAGTGATTATTTTAGTCTATTGATTTTATTATTAATTTCGTTTTTTTTCTATCATAAATTTTATGCGACACTACTACTAGATAGCTACTGTAAAATTTTTTTAAGGAGAGACTTAAATGATCAGTACAAAGATGAAAGTGAACATTTTCAAAATATAGGTACTAATTAAAATGAACCAAAGTAAAAAATATAGATATTAAAATCAGTATTTTCAAAGTACAGTGACTTAAAATAATATTTTAACCTAAAATTTATGTTAAAATTTTGCGAATGGAAACTAAATTGGTCTACAGACGTTTTGAAAATATATGGACTAAAAAAGAATAAAAATTAAGAGTACAGAGACCAAAATAATATGTAACAATTATGGGTTAGCTCATTGGTACAAAGGGGTCTAGTCACTAATTACAAATTGGAGGTGAAATCGCTTGAGGATTCGACTTATTTGAGTCAAATCGATGTAAATCAAAATGATTTAAAGAAAATGAGTTCAAATCCCATGACAACCACCTATATAGAAATTAAGTTCATATGTATTTTTTTGGCGAACTTTGGAAGCATACCTACATGTTATTGATAAAAATCTATATGTCATCTAATAACCCTTTGATATAGATCTGAAACACCGTTTCTAAATTCTCTCTTCTATATCCAACAGTGTACGACTGTGATATTGTTCTAAATCTTTTACAATAATTTCTTCAAACGGAGTAGTTGTCACCTTAATTAATTAAATAATTAATTAAGGCGTACACATTTTTAGAATTAAAATATTATATATATAAAAAGTTAGAACGTAAAATTTTGACTCGGAGGTTCGGAAACAAGGGAACATAATGAAAAAGAGTTGTGAGAAGGAGACAAAAGAAGAAAGGAATGGAAGAGAGAAGAGAAATGGAAGGGCAAATTAGAAGCAGGCTTTAAAGTTTAAACTGACTGACACACAGTAAATGAAGGCTGTTCATCTGCTTGTCTCCATTATACTTACAGTTCCCCACCAATTCCTTCTATTTTCTATCTGCTTTCTTCTTCTTCTTCTTTCCCATGTCATCTTTTTCAGTCAACTTTTTTCAACCCTTTTCTCTTTTGTGTAAAAAGTTTTGGAGAGATTTGTCCACTTCAAAAGTGAAAAAAAATATGGCCAAGTGGGTGTGGGGAAGGGGATGCCCCTCTTACCCCTTGTTTTCTAGCTTCTCTTGGCTTTATTTTCCTTTCAATTTTAATGGGAGGGAAGYGAAAACAAAAACATTTTTAGGTCAATTTCCTCAAGTGCTCTCTCTTATCAACACCCATCAATTTCACTTCGGGATGGCAAAAAAATCTGTGGGACCCAATCTCCATTGGTATCTGGCTCTATCGGATCGGAGAATTTCTGGTTGGCTCGATCGAATTTTAAACGAATCTCTATTGGGGATCTCCGTCCCGTTCGCACTCTAAAATTTCGGAGACGGGGGCGGAGATGGGGAAGAAATTCCCTATAGGACGGGGATGAAGATTGCCCCTAGTCCAGCCCCGTTTCCATCCCTCATTTCACCGTTGTTGGAGTTGAATTTTTACCTAACACGTGACACGTCCTGATTTGAAGAGAACCACACGTGGCTTTGAGTCCATAAGGTCAAGTTCATTACCTCGGTCTCAACACTTATTGTCGAGCTAACGTTCTAGGTGGCCGAGCTGACCTTGTATCATTTTGGTCTTATTCTCATTTGTCGGTCGAGTTGACCTGATTCTATTTAGCTTCACTCTCCGACACACTTCACAACAATACGCCGCGTTTCACAGTAGCCTTAAAGAGTCATCGAGACTTTGTCGGAGAGCTTGTCTATAAATAGAGACCTTCCGCCTCTATCCTAGGTACGCGAACATTGTATTCTCTCTCGAATATAGCTCTACTACTTCCTGACTTAGACGTCAGAATGTCTTATGTTTTGCAGGTCCCCTACTAAGTTGGTTTACGATTCGTCCTTCAGGTCATCTTCCAGTTCAAGCCGAAGTTCGCAGCCTTGGTCATTTTCATGATCAAACAACTGTGGTTTTTCTATTTATTTCTTCTCTCTTTCTACAAAATTTGTAAAAATTTCCCCCTATTATCTCACCCTTCTTTTTAAGAAAAGTCCTATGTTCCATAGCGGACTCTATATATCATATAGGCAAGATTATTTATTTTACCTCACCATTGATATTTGGTCACACATGACCCTAGCCTAGTTGATATATACATTGTTCTTAAATGCTTATGATATCGTATAATTGTAAATATATAGAAACCATCAATACAAAATGCAATGTTTTTTCAGTATTTCAAAATATGAGAGAGAAGCGAAAATTATACTTACGTTTACAAAGTTTTCAAAGATAGACATCTAGAATGCAGTAAGTAT